AGTTTAGCGTGACTTGTTTTTTCTTGTCTTTTCTCATTTTCACAAAACACAAGAGATGTAACATTTCTTTTAGTTGCCGATGTTCCTGATGTTGGTCTTGCCGTGCCTTGGTCCTCTAAACTACTGAAGTGATGCACTGTACTGTGGTAAGTAACATAAACATAAATGTAACATAAAAAGTTACAAATATTTTACTAAATGTTGTAAAAAATGACTTGAAAAAACATGTTTTTGTAAGGTTTTGAGCTAAATGTGGAAAGATGTTGATGTTAATTTCAGCACGTTTCCCTTTACAAACGGCGCCCCATAGTGTAGCCTTAATGTGGTCAGACTTTTTAATTGGTTGCTCCTAAATACACTTTTATTGTAGCTCTGTTTTACTTGCAAATGTGTGTGAAATGCTCACGTTTACATCATTTAACACATGGGCACACAGTAATCAAATTACTCAATGATTCGGTCCAGCACTATAATAGATATAGAATGACTGAAAACAGAAAGGAACCCAAAAACACAAGAACAGCTTGAACAGATGAGTCAGCTATCTGGGCTACGATGATGTTAAATCATTTTTTATTGCACAGAAGATTAGAGATGATCTGCCAACACAGTCTCATTCCTAACTCATCAAAGGACCTCTGTGATCACATTTTGGACACAACTGGAATCGACAGCAAACAAATTCTTTACAATTTGTTTTACATTGCTTGCATTTATCACTGTGATCACAAACTACAAAAGGTAACTGTTGTGGAAATTTTAAATAAACTGCAAACACCCGGTAAGCGTCTTTTTGATTCTGGTCACAAACCAGAATGGTCTCTAAAGATGGGCGCTGCCTTACATATGACCCGGCCAAACTCATGGACAAAGGAAACTCCTCAGCACATCACGTAGCTCTATACCTCCCAGGTCAGCTCATCCTCGAACCCTTCCCCCCAAAGGAGAATTACGACCAACCGGCACCTCCCTTATGCTTTGCCTATATGCAGAAACGGCCCTAACCAATCTGGCGCCCTAGGCAAGATTTTAGGTGGCGCCCCCCTACATCAGCAGTGTAGTGTAATGTTGTAACAAATAATATTTCTATTAAATAAGCTTTACTTTGCATTTTAATTAACGTGGGATTATTTTTTGTATTTAGAAATAATAGTACCAACTTTTT